ATGAATTTTTTTTAACTTACCAGTTGTGATGGTAGAACCCAGATATTTGAAGGGGGGGTTGTCAATCCTATAGCCAAGAGCCTCTTCCACTTTGAGTCTATAGTCCCCATGGCAATTCTTTTTGCAGTAGATTCTGCTTTTCCTCTGATTCACTTCCTGTCCTGAGGCTGTGAGATAGTTATTTAGAATGTGTTTGAATCTCAGTAGGTTCCTGAAATCTCCTTTGAGAAACACAATCAGGTCATCTGCAAAGGCCAAATGAGAAACAACCATACTCCTGCCAGCCTTATAAGGAGCTATGTAACCAATATTAATTGCATGTTCTAGGCTCCTGGAAAAACCCTCAGAACCCAAGATGAAGAGGAGAGGGGATAAGGGGTCCCCTTGTTTGACTCCTCTCTTGATTTGGAAGAATCCTGATGGTTTCCCATTGACAAGAACTGACATGTATGTAGACCTCAGGTTTTGAAGAAGTAGGGAAGTGGACTTTTCTGTGAAACCAAAACCTTGAAGAACAGTCCCTATGTAGCTCCATGACATTTTGTCAAAGGCCTTGGCCATGTCCAGCTTAATCATTACATTACCTCCTCTAACTTTTGATTCAAGTTTATGCATGAGTTCATTAGTTAGAAGAATGTGCTCCTCAATTCCTTTCCCTTTCTAGAACCCAGCTTGTTCAGGGGAGATTAGCTTGTTAAGAAGAGGGGCTAATCTGTTGGCCAGTATTCTGGAGAACATTTTGCTGAAGAAGGTGGATAAAGCTATGGGTCTAAAGTCACCAATAGCTTTAGCTCCTTCCATCTTAGGTATTAGGATAATATAGGTACTACCAAATGCCTTGGGAATAGGAATTCCAAGGAAAAATTCCTGTGTAGCACTGATGATATCCTCCTTAATAGTGTCCCAAAATTTTATGAAGAACTCACCATTATATCCATCTGGTCCTGCTGAGCTATTAGGATTAAGCTGCCAGATTGCAGTTTTGATCTCCTCCTCAAGGGGCAGTTTCACCATAGAGTCATTGTCTTGATCTGTAAGAAGATTGGGTATGTGGGGAAGAATGTTGTCCATGTTTCTAGTGTAATCTTCAGAATAGGTGTTCTCAAAGTGGTTGGTAATAAAGTTGGAGATTTCACTTTGATCCTCCATCTCTTTCCCCTCTTGATTTTTAAGGAGTCTGATACTTGCTTTTCTCCTCTTCCCTTTCACATAAGAGTGAAAAAATTTAGTAGAGGAATCACCACAAGAAAGCCATCTCACATTTGCTTTTTGGGCCCAATAATGTTCTTCCTTATTGCAAGCTAGGAGAAGTTTAGCATTAGCTAGATTAAGAGCCTCCCTGTTGGAAGGAGTTTCAGACTCTTCAAACTTCTCTTGTGCTTGGAGAGCCTCCATCTCTGCTTCCTTGACTTGAGAGAATATATTTCCAAAGTGGTTATGATTCCAGTCCTTGATACATTTTTTTAGGTGTTTAAGTTTAGTAGCTAGGCCCCTCATCCCTCTACCAGTAGTAATGGAGTTCCAAGCATCTGTAACCATCCCATGAAAGCTATCATCCAGAGTCCAAGCATTAATAAATCTAAATGGTTTAGGACCTGAGAAATTGTGGCTGATACAATCCAAAAGAAGAGGTTTGTGATCTGAAGAAGTTCTTCCAAGATGA